ATCATGACTCATGAGTCCAGATGGTATGGTCACTTCGTATCTAGGATGTGGGAGTAGGACGTCCACAAAAGTTTTTAGAAGAACCAGGGTTTAAAAATCTGGTAAATTGTTCTATGGGGTTTTCATTGTAATTGTCTTTTCTCCAGGTTGAGTTGAGCGGAGACGGAAAGGGAGGGTTCTCAGCCAGGTTTGGTTTCGATGGATCTCTAATAGATCCTAATTCTGCACAGGTGGATTATGTTTCATCCATGTTACAAAATAACTAAACTTTTCAAGCTTTAAATTAAACTTTTAATACGTCTTTTATTTTGCCTTTTTTTAATCTTCAAAGTGAACTGATTTTTATATATTTTTTTCAGCACAAATTGTTAAGAATGTCAAAAGAATAAAATAATGTAAAAAATGTAAAAATTTCATGACCTGTTACAGTTTTTTAAGACTAAAAAAGATTTTTTAGAACTTCTGATTACTGGAGATAATAAGAATTTCTAGAGTAATAAAATAAAAACTCTTTTATCAGGTTGATGTGAGGTCTGGTCTACATCATCATGGTGAGGAACCAGAACGTGCTGGATATACTCTTTCTGAACTCTTCACTCTCATCCGGTCCTCCAGCTCCAGGCAAAGGGTTCTAGCACTAGACATACTGGCAGCCATATTGGATAAATACTGGACAGGTAGATATACTGGCGGCCATATTGGATAAATACTGGCCAGGTATATATATTATATACTGACGGCTATATTGCCCGCGTCAGTGCGCTAAAAAATTTTGTGTCCCCCCTTTAAAACCCCTTTTTTGAAAAAATATTGAAACCTTTTTCAACTTGTAAACTATTCGATCATAAAACTTCCAGATTTCAAGTGTTGAAAAATTATTTATGTAATTTTCTTAAGTGGACTCATCAGCCACTCCCTCTTAATATTGTGGTGTAAGCTTCAAGAGGTGAAAAATAGAGATGGAAACGTTTCTTTAAAATATCTATATTTTCATAGGATCGATAATATTGTATATAAATAATGATATCAAATATATATATACACTGTATTGATTCAAGTATTGATCGAAGCTTTTTTAATGAAACTTTTTTATTTAAGGGCAAAAGTGAGATTTTAAAGTATTTTTTATTATACGATGTAATTATACTTAAATGGAATACATGTGTAATTTCAAGTGACCCATCGTTTCTGAAGCAAGAAATGCATGAGTCACTTTTGTAGAGAAACCACAAATAAAAATAATCAGTTTTCAAAATGGGAAACATGGATATTTAATGCAAGACTAAGCTTTGAAGGGTATTGTTGTGAATCAGAATTGAAATTATGTCTGCAGTCTCTTTAAACCTCTCAATTGATTCTATATTAATAAAACTGCTTTGTAGCTCCCCCTCCCCCTGGGTGCCACGTATTGAATAAATGCTGGAGAAAACTAGCGGCAAAACAACTGAAAGGTCTGATCCTCCGTACCCCCCCCCCCCCATCATTGGTGCCCCATATTGAATAAATGCTGGAGAATACTAGCGGCAAAACAACTGAAAGGTCTGATCCTCCGTAGCCCCCCCCCCCATGATGGGTGCCACGTATTGAATAAATGCTGGAGAATACTAGCGGCAAAACAACTGAAAGGTCTGCTCCTCCGTGATATACAAAGCAATTAACCGTAATATCCTATTTTTAGGTGTGTTGGATTCTTGTTTCTCCTTGAACCCTGTAGAAGAGATGGTTGGAGCTGGTTTAGTTTCCTTGCTCAGGTCTTGTCTGGATGAGAAGGAGGAGAGCGTGGTATTCTCCGCTACTCAGTGTTTAGCTAACCTATTTTACTCTCAGGTAGAGATTATAGTACCAAATCGTTTAAAATTTTCGCAATTCTTGTTTTGTTTAAACTCAGAAAAAGTCAAAGATTTATTTTTAACTTCATAAAATTTTGACAATTAAGACTCAAAATTAAAAATCAAACTTTCTTTTTAGGTGTGATATCCATCGAATATATTTTGCTGACATGTATTTAAATGAATTTATACTAGTGTTGTAAATATTAATAATGTTCTTCGCCTTATCAAAAATGCAAAGCCAATAAACGGAATTTGTAATGGAATTGTTAATTCATAGTTACATGTCTTAACTCACACTTAATTTAATATTTGTAATACAACTGTCTTAATCTTAAGATTATTTTGGATACTATCGGTTTTTTTTTAGGTTTTAGTGATTTTTGAGGTTTTGAATTTTAGTGATATTGTATATTTTTATTTTAAACAATTTTTTTACTTCCCCTGATAGTCAGAATTTACTGTTTTAATCCTTCTTTTTTTCTTCAATAAAATAAATTTTTAAATTCTCAAATGTATTTTAGGGTGAGGAATCTGCTCTAGACTGGACTAATCTCTACTCCCCGGAGCAACCCGTCCTAGCTCCCGTCCTTGAGGAGAAAGATCAGGAGGAGATTGAAGAGCTAAAGGATCATGAACTTGTTCAGTTAGATCTCATTCTTGGTCTGCTCAGGATGGATATCCTACCACGGATCCGGTATATTCTCACGGTACGTTTAGTAGTACACGATATCCTACCTTATCTTATCCTTCTCTTTTTTCAAAAATACTCAACTTTTTCAAGATATATTGAGGAAACGTGTCATTGTTTTACACCGCTGCATTTAAATAAACTTCATTATAACTTATTTTTATGAAATATTTAACCAGATATATTTAAATTTTCAAGGTTATTCTGATGATATTTTGTTGAAGGTGCTAAGACCTGGACCCGGAGTAGTTCTTTCATCAGTGAAGATCCTAGTCCGGATATCCCGGCACTCCCTCTACTCAGCCCAGCAGGTTTCACACTGTCCTGGTCTCCTACAGACACTGATAGCAGAGTTCCTTCCTCCTCTTCTCCCTCACACCTTCTCAAATACAACCCTATACGGAGCTCCGGTCTGGTTGGTTTGTAAACTTTGTAGAGTTTTATTAGCTTGGGACTTGAACCTGGCAAGGTTTATAACTCAGGAGTTTCAATTGGAACCCTCGCTTATGGTCTATCTAACAATAGATCCGTCCCAGGCTACTATCCCGTCTCGAGAAGCAGTTCTTCTCTGTGTGGAGAGCTACCGAACCTGGTGCACCTTGCTCCGGTATAATCTAACTACTGGGAGCTATACAAACCTATATCCTGTACTCGTCCGACAGTTGTTATATTTCATTGAGAAGATTGATATCAGTACTGGGACGGAGCAGCAGTTTAACTACGATGTTGGTTGTTGGTTGCTCATGGTGCTTACTACAGTTCTAGGCTGTGTTGACAAGAATACTCTGGACTGGGTTCATGTAGCAGATCTGAGAAAACCTGTTGAAACCTGCACAAGAAAATGGTTGGTTCAGCTATCTCGACAGTCGGAGCTAATCTCAACCTCGGCGTATAATTTAGTAGGAACAGGTTTTACATTCCTCTCTGTGTTCTATCTCAAGCTGAAGACACGAACTGAGTTTAATCAGGATAAATTTAAGGAGGAACTTATTTCAGACTTCTCCAGTATTATTCAAACCTGTTTCAAATCAGACTTTATGAAGGTGCTGTCTGAGAAAATGTCAGTGTATAGTGGATACCTGAGCGGGTTCAAAGAGCAGAAGAGATCTCTTCCCTGTCTAGAAATCCCCGGAGCAGTTTTGTTAAATGGAGATGTTCATCCTGTTCTAAATCCAACCGCTCCGATCTTCATGCTTTCCAGTCTGTTTAGGTTCATCTCCGTTGTCAACTCTATAGTACCAGGTGTTTGCCCAACCCAGAGCATTTTAACAGGATTTAAAGGATATTTTCAAAACCTGGCCGCGAAACCGGTATCTCTCGTCCCGAACTGGTTTTCTAGGTTTGAAAGTCGTCTTCTCTTCTGGGCGCTTTCAACTCAGTTTAACTCCGAGGTGGAGAATGATACGCATAAACTATCTGTAAAAGTTTGTGGACTGCTGCAAAGACCTGACGAAATCCTTCTTCGTGAACTCATGGAAAACATTGTGTTTAACCAGCAGATCCTTCAGTCCGAGTATCTTCTCAGTAGTTGTCTGGAAGCTCTGTCTCTTGGTTCAGTTTCCCCTCTGTCCTGTCCAACCAACCTACCTGAGCAGGACGTTAATCAAATCTTAAATTCAAGTTTGAACAACCTGGACAATATCAAGGCGACCTATATGGAGAAATTGTTTAATGATAATCTATGTCGAATATCTCTGTTCTACCATAACCTGTCGAACCAGTATAATCTTAGTCTAGTATTGAGAGGGGAACCCGTTCTATCCCAGGATTGGCCGTTCTACCCCCTTCTCCAGGTCTACAACTGGGAACAGAGTGGGAAGAACAAAACTCAGGTCCGGATAGAGGATATGAGAAACTGCTTGGCCTGGCTTCTTCTTACAGATAGTAATCAGTGTTCACCAAGAGAGAACACGGCTAGGTTCTACCGTCTTGCAACCATCTTCCTCTCCGGTAACGATCTTTTCCTGGACCCTGTGGTACATAACCTTCTCACAGCACTACTAAGAGGCGTAATGAAGGATGGATTACCTGACTTATCTCTCTCCGTCCCAGGGCTCACCTCGGGACACGAGTTCTATCTTCAACTTCTGGATCAGTATCAGGCGGTTTCATACGGAGATCAACTCTTTTCTCTTTTTATCTCCGTCCCGCTCAGTATGTCCCAACCCGTTGCATTCCGTAGAACTTTCTGGACGGAGAAACCAGATCTTGTGAGAACGATATCTCTGAAGTCCAACCATCTGACAAAGAACATTGTGGAGAAGTTTCTTGGGCCTCAGGAATTAGAAACAGATATTCTTATTGCACTTTTCCACGCTTTAAGAGACAATTGTATTATGAAGTCCAGGAACGAATTTCTTTATTTAATTGCTTCAACTCAAATTAAGAATTTGATCAGACTTCAAACTGAAAACGATGAGTTAAACAAACTGATCAAGTACATTAAATCCGCCAAAAAGGATGAAGAGCTAAGGCGAGATCTTGATATTTAATATTTTCAGATTTTTACAAAACAAAATGGAGGTTGACGAACCGATAGTTGACTGGCCAGGACGCTGGTCCCATGTCCGTAAGATCTTGGAGCGTCGAGGACCTCTTACTCCGGCATCCTTCGATCCTTCTCCGGGTATACTGGAGTTCCTCCTGGAGAACTGTAAGATACTTGTGATCGGAGCCGGAGGGTTGGGTTGCGAACTCTTGAAGAACCTTGCTCTCATGGGGTTTAGACAGATTACTGTGATAGACATGGATACCATAGACCTGTCCAACCTGAACCGGCAGTTCTTGTTCCGCCAGAAGGATGTTGGCAGATCCAAGGCAGAGGTTGCGGCGGAGTTTATAAATAAAAGAATCCCAGGCTGTAATGTTACTCCACATAATTGTAAAATTCAGGTTAGCAGCTTTCATTTTTTCCAGTGTTAATATTTTTTTTTTTTAAATGTTAGGAATTGGCTTTATCACTAGGTTTTAGGGTTGACATAAAAAACCAGCCCAAAAAAACCAACAAAACCCACGTTGAAAAACCACCTGTAAGTGGGCTTTTTTTGGGGTTTCATTGTTTTTTTTAGAATTCTTTTAATTATTGCCTTTTCTTCACTCTTAAAATGATTAACTTTTCCAGAAATAAGGTCTACTATTAACTGTATTGATTTTTAGCAGTTCACAGCATTAAAACTGGCACGTTTATTCATTTCTAAGACTTAAACCAATGATCTTAACAAAATTAATATTGTTCGAATATTTAGTTATTTCAAAAAAAATATTGTCACTCTGGACTTCAACTTCAAGACGGTTTCGGGTAATACAGCAGACAAATCCAATTGTAGAAAACTTTTGAAGCAATCGATCGTCTGCAGTGCTTTTTTATCACAAGTATCAAAAATATTGAAAAACGCAAGGAGATGCACAGAACTTTATCTGTTTTCAAAATTTGTTGCGATAGAACAAGGATATAAATTTAAAATCCCCCCTTAGTAATTTCTATGTGTGAATGAGCTGAAGTTTTTTGGTATTTAAGAGTGATCTTTTTTATTGAGCATTTAATATCTACCCATTAATCTAAGTAGCCCCCCCCCCACAATCAAAAATATGTATCCAAGTGTGAAAAAAGAATTAGTCTGAAATTTTAGAACTATAATACAAAAAAATTGCAGTATTCCCTCTATAAAGAAGGGAGGGGATATTCTTGTATTTAAAAAGTATTTATATATGATTATAGCCTATTATCACAACAACATTTTTCAAAACTGTTCAGTGTTCACCAATTGCTCAAATAGTCTTATTATTATGAATTGGAATGAATTTTAGTAAGTTTTAATAAAATTCAAATTGAGAACCCCCCCCTAAAAAAAACAAAAAAAAAACAATAAAACCCAATAAAACTGACTGGGCTGGTTTTTTTTGAACCCGTGTTTTTTCCAATCCTGCAGAGTTTGGGAAAATTGAATTTTTTGGACAAAAAAAGATGGTAAAAACGTGGCAAATTTTTCATCCCAATCATTTTACAAAAAACCACAATTAAAATTGAAGATACATGCATATATCTTCATTCATTATAAAACGACGTGCATATATCTTCATTCATTATAAACGATCTTTCGTTAACGACCATCAACGACGTCTCCTTGTTAACGACCGTTAACAACGACCTCTTAAAGAAATAAATACATTTTTTGGTCGAAAAATTCGAGGTCAGAAAATTGTTCGTTTCGATAAAAAAAATTAAGACAACATTCATAACCTTATCTTTCTGAAAAAAAATTAAACTAATTTTTATAAAAGTTAAGATTCATTAGCGATTTTTTTTAAACGATAGTTTTTCGTTTTTTGCATGTTCAAAACCAATGGTTCGTTTTCAAAAACAATCGTTTTTAAAAACGGAAATATTTCTATTTTTCTTAACTCTGAAAATATTCAGGATTTTGACGAGAGTTTTTACCGAGGATTTCATCTAGTAGTGAGTGGGCTAGATAGTATAGTAGCCAGGTAGATATGTATAATTTAACTTAAAGATATTGTTCATGTATTTCATCTAGTAGTAAGTGGGCTAGATAGTATAGTAGCCAGGTAGATATGTATAATTTAACTTAAAGATATTGTTCATGTATTTCAATGTCAGGAATACATTTAAACTGATTTGATCACTCATTGATGTCCCTCAAGACCGGATTGTTCGAAAACCCGGATTTCCGGCAAATTTCGTTATTTTTTTAGACAAATTAACCGTGTTTTTAATTTAAAAAATCGTTTTTCCTTAAACAGCTCTAATAAGGAGAGACATTTACAGATATTTAATTTTTCATTTTCAGTATTTTCAAAGACTTATAGACTAAAGATATAATTATCTTTGTAAGTCATTTTAATAATAAAAGACATTTATACGTTTTTACACATTCTTAAAAGATCTTTGACCTCTCAAATGCGGTCTGAAATATTGACGCATTACACGTGTTACTAGCCGTAGAATTTGATAATTACTTTGAAAAATAAAATCGAATCTAGAACAGATTTCTTTTGAGCGTATGTCTCCCGTAGGTTCCCTTTGAAAAATCAGCCCTATTTGGTTCAGCCGTTTGGTCAGCTAAAGCCTACCTACATACATGGTGTCCCACATCAAATTAGACCGCGTCAATGGGTCTAAATTACGATTTGGGGGACAAATCAGAAAATTGAAGAAGAATGGATCATTTTGAAAAATTTAACAAGGCTAATAAAATTTTTTTGCAGAAAATGCTAGATTTTCGAGTATAATGTGCGTATATTTAGCGTTAAAGGTTGGAGATAATCTAATATGATATGGGACGCTCTGTACATATATATGAGCGAAGAGCTTCAAGATATGGAAGATTATGTGACCTGTCCTTTTTTAATTTTAATTTGTTAATTTTATTAATTTCATTAATGATAATTGAATCTAACCTATCAAAAATTGTGATCAAACTTGATATTCAGACGATGGATAAACGGTATGCTGATCTCTATGCTTGAGTATGACGATGATGATGAACTAATCAGATCATCTCTCATCCCCCTCATTGACGGGGGGACGGAGGGGTTCAAAGGTAACGAAAAAAACACAATTTTTGGAGGATTTTTTATAAATTTAATATTATTAATTTTGGATTAGTTGAGTTTAACTTTTTATTCACTGAAAAGTAGGTGGAAAAATAATCGAAACAGCCAAGAGCTATTTTGTACTTTTAAAACTATTATCAATTTGTAAATGTACACAGATACATGCATTTTAGCAATGCACTTTATCTTCTTGTCGTTTAACTCTAATTGTTTTGCATAACAATTCATTATTTATATTTTCCAGGAAATGCTCGAGTAATTCTGCCTGGTCTTACTGCCTGCATAGACTGTACGCTAGACCTCTTCCCTCCGCAGATTAACTTCCCGCTTTGCACCATAGCCCACACACCTCGCCTACCGGAGCACTGTATAGAATACGTCCGTCTCCTCCTCTGGCAGAAAGAGAACCCATTTGGAGAGGATACGTCCATAGACGGAGACGATCCAAACCACATTTCCTGGATTCTAGAGAAATCTGTAGAACGCGCCGGTCAGTACGGTATTCACGGAGTAACATACCGACTCACCCAGGGGGTCATTAAAAACATCATCCCTGCCGTTGCTTCAACCAATGCTGTGATTGCAGCCGCATGTGCCAACGAGGTGTTTAAACTTGCAACCTCCTGCTGCAACCCCCTGAACAACTACATGGTGTTCAACGACGCCGACGGGATCTACACCTTTGTGTACGAGCAGGAGAAGAATCCGTCCTGCCTAGCGTGTAGTAATAAACCCCAAAGATTAGAGTTCTCACCTTCAGATAAACTTCAACAAATCATTGATTATCTCATCAATACTCCAACCTTTCAGATGAAGGTAAATATTCCTTTTAAAAAAGAATGAATATAATAATAATATGAAAAATAATATGTCTCCTGAGTCTTTACATAGCACTTAAATTAGATTCTATTTCAGCTTTAAGTAAAAGTTAAAAATTTGTAAAATAACTAATGATGTAAAAAAAATGAATTTACAATATTATTAATTGTTAAGTAGTTTAAAACTCCATAAATTGGTTTAAATCTTACTAATACTTTTATCATAACTTAGATCCTATCAATATTCATTATTTAAAAAAGGGAATTCATACATCGTCTAATGGGACTTCAAAAGTATATGATTTATCTAAAAGGTTTATTTTAAGGTACTCGTTTCTTTGCAAGAACAAATAATATTTAAAACGTCGAGAAACAATTATTCAGAACAGAAAATTTCATGTAAAGGGTTTTCACCTAAGAAATGTTTTTTTTTATTTCAAAAATGCAAAATGCTGTTAAAAACCCCTTTTTTATTGCATCCTCTATTTCCGTCAAATAAAGTTAACATATAGCTGATGTTGGACGTTAGTGTTAGAGATTCACCACACAAATATGGATAGCCAGACATGGTTTAATCACGTATATTTAGTTCAATCACTGATCTTGAGCTTGAGCCGGAACACCAATCAAGTGTATTAACTTATGTCACGTGGTTTAATTACCATTTTTCTCTATTTGATTCTGGTCCTTGTCATACTTGAGTTAATTGATTTTATTTCTTGTTTTAGTATCTATTTTTTAAATAAAGAAAATATCTAATTTTATGCGATTTCTAAGTTTTTCAAAAATAAATTATAATAAAAATAAAAAAAGTCAAATTGATCTTTTTCTTTTCAAATTATTTACAATAAATATTAAGATTTGAAGTATGTTTTTTTTCTAAATTTTTTTGTTTAATTGATTGATTGATTATTAAAGGCGCCAGGGATCACAACTAGCGTGGACGGAAAGAACAAGACCTTGTACATCCAGACTGTTTCCAGTATAGAGGAGAGAACCCGTCCTAACCTGAAATTATCCTTGTCAGAGTTGGGTCTCCAGGACGGATCTGAGCTGGTTGTAGCAGATTCCACTTCTCCGTCCTCAATCCTATTCACTCTCAAAATGGTTTAATTAGAATACAGAGAACGCATCTGACATTGATTACTAACCAGGAAACAAGGTTCAACAGTTTCCATGAGGCGTTTTTTTTATTTAATCTTGATTTTAAAAAATTAAAATTCACTTTTTGTCTTCAAGGCTACAAGGAGATTGGTTGAAAATGATATTGAATGTCATTTTTAGACAAAGCTTGTGCTTTGCAACTGTCTTCTTTCCATTAGGTGAGGTATACCTAGTCCTCCTTATAATTCTAGCGATTCTCTGTCTATAATTTTGATCTTTACTAAGAGAAACAATGTTGGTTATTATGTACTAGAATGTACTGTTATCACAGATAATAAAACCTTGCGTGTACACTGTGCATTTACACAGTACAAGGAAGCCAACTTCAAACCTTGCCTTGGCAATTAGAGCATACAAAAAATAGAAATAGACACGGTTATAACCTACTTGTAAGAATGACTAGAAAATACCAAACGCCTGAAATGTCTGATCGTACCATGATAAGTTAAAAGTTTTTCTTGTCGTCGCCTGTTACAGGGTTACGTTTACTCAAAATAATGTGATTCTTTGGATCAAGACATTTGGTGAGATCTTGGTCAATTAATAGTACACAAAGCAATATTGATAATTAAAGATATCAGTGTAAAATCAATATCGTTATTAATCTAAGAATCCTTGTTGCTTTGAATGTTAAAATGTATGGATGAACTTGAATCAGTTCAAGTCTCGGTGATAAGTGCAGTTCAAGTCTCGGTGATAAGTACATAAGCTCATAAGCAGTGCATAGTATTCGGGTCCGGATCCTCAAAAATATGCGATCCACGGATCCGGATCCAAGGGGCAAAATATTAACCAAACCCTGTTAGAAATTTTGCTCCCAAAATACTAATCTTAATTGTTGAAAAATGAGAGATTATTAAAATCTTATAATCTATGAATGGTTCAACAAGTTTCAGCCAAAAATTAAGTTAAAAAGAAAGAAGAAAAATTTAATATTTTTCAGTGGTTCAAAAAATCAGTAAATCTTAATGAAATGTTCATATCCTGGATCCGAGTACGGATTGGATCCGGATCCATTTTCTAAAGGCGGATTCATGATCCGGATTTCAAGAATTAAATGGATCTTAAGCACTGATGTTAAGTCATCAGCTGGAATTTGTAGTTACAAATTGCCTTATTTGTGTACCCTTATTTTTTAAAACTTATATAAACGATAACAAATGTGATTTGCTGTTCTTATGTGATTTTTGTTAATGTTATGTAATATGTTTATACGATCTTTATCTTCCAGTTCCAGAAATAATTAATCAGAGGTGGAAAAATATGATAAGAGAAGTCAAACTAGGTATTTAATATTAATAAGTTTTCAATTATTTTAGGTCTTCTTCTCAATGTTTGCTAATGTAACCTCAAATGTAAAATACTCTCTTATTGGTCAGATTTTATGTTTTACAGATATCTCTCCAATATATAATTCTGTAATCTTTTTTCATCCCAGCTTAGTTTCATTCTGTTATCTTTTTCCATCCCAGCTTAGTTTCATTCTGTTTATCTTTTTTTCATCCCAGATTAGTTTCATTTTGTAATCTTTTCCTATCCCAGCTAAGTTTCATTCTGTAATCTTTATTTATCCCACCTTATTTTCATTCTAAAATCTTTTTTCATCCCAGCTTAGTTCCATTCTATAATCTTTTACATCCTAGCTTAGCTTTATTCTGTAATCTTTCCATCCCAGCTTAGCTTCATTTTGTATTATTTTCCCATTCTGTAACCTTTTGCACGACAGCTGAATTTCATTCTGTAACCTTTTCCATGACAGCTTAGTTTCATTTGTAATCGTTTCCATCCTTGCTTAGCTTCATTCTGTAATCTTTTTCCATCCGAGCTTTTGTAATCTTTTTTTCATACCAGCTTAGTTTCAGTCTGTAATCTTCTCCATCCCAGCTTAGGCTGCACAGATTAGCATGAAATCATTTCTTCTTTGCAAGCATAGAGGGCTAATTGTTATTTCTGTCCTCTTGTGACAGTGCATCTGGTGATCTGTAGGTGTCTCTGTTGCCAAGCTCGGCATTTTTACACATGAATTTGACTAATATCTTCAACCTTTCGGCTTCTTTAACCTGCTGGGATAGCTTTCACAATTTCCTGGGGATTGACATTATGTTAAGGCTAGGCAGCTGTTGGACCCAGTGAAGGATTGTATGTTTGTACTTTTCTAATAATGTGCAGCATATTGTTGATTGGAGGTCTTCTTGCTTTAAGTTATAATGTCTGAGCAGCTTGTTTTAGAAATACATACACTTGGTTCCTCTATTTGAATTGTTCCAATCCATGCATGATTTCACCACTGCCTTTAAACTCTTGGCTGTTAACTCTTTGGTAGAACCTCATAAATGACTCTTTCAGATGGAACTGAATAGGTTTCCTCCCTGAGGGATACCGAGAATGGGTTTACCAACCTGTTTTTGGATTGTTCCTAAATCTTTTAATACATCATCAGAAATTGGTATTACATCGACTGGTAAAGTGAAACCAGGGAGTGCTACTGAGTACCAGATAGTGGAGAGCGATTTGAATTTATCTGGTAAGAATTTCCTGCTTGATAGTATTACGTTGTTGTTCATTTAGGCTCTTCTCAACATATCTTCTCCTTTGTGGTGTTCAACTTGTTTTGGTATATTGTTGGACCCCGAGATATTTGTATAAGGATTTAACATGCTCCATAATATCAACTTCACATTTTCCGTTGCCTGACACAGAACAGACTAAAGTTTTCTTCTGGTGTTATTATGTTTGTTTTAGCCATGAATACTATCATCTTGTAATCTGAACACCACGCTTCTAATATTGGTTTCAATGTATTCAGTCCTAATGTCTGAGATTAGAATTATATTGTCCGCAAACAACAAATCCCAACTACCTCGCCTGAATCTAATTGTACTCCATGGCTGCTCAATCTTATTCATTTTGTCAGCTCCTAAACATAAATAATTTTTTAATAAATGCGGCTTAGGTTGCATCCTTTTTGAAGTCCTCTCTGTTGGTATTGGCTTTTTGATAGGCTCCTGTTTAAGATTGTTGGTATTGGCTTTTTGATCAGGCTCCTGTTTAAGATGTTGATACGTTGTCTCTGATGTAGTAACTTTAGAATAGAGTTAAGAAGCGTTCTGGAAGGTATAGTTGTTGCAGTTTACTAAGAGAATGTTCCTATCCACTCTGTCATATGCTTCCTGGTTTATGAATAACAAGTATGTCATTCATTTTCTAATCTTATTCAGTTCTAATATTCAGTTGAGTATAAAAGTATTGGTTCTGTTCGAGGTTGATAATATCCTCGCATACAATCCTCGCTCATTACTCTGTGCCATCAGTTTTGTCCAGTGTTTGGATACACAGCTAATGTCAGTAATCACTTATCAGTCTCTAATTATTGATCTTTGTTTGGGGTGATTTTTGAGTATCAAGGCAGTCCCCTTCCTTCCAGCTGTCTGGTGTTTGTCCTAATATCATTACATTGTTGAACATTTCCATTAGCTTACTTCTTGCCACTGGTCCTGTATTTTTAATCATAGTGTTCGATACATTATCTAGGCTCTCTGCTTTACTGGTACATAGTTTGTCATTTTTTTTTAGAAAGCTCTTCCATTGTTATTGGGTCCATTATTCTTTCTGCTGTTTTTTTTTACTCATCTTTCTATTTAGTTACCTGAGCTTTGTTAGATCAGAAGTTTTCAATTTTATATTATCTATCATATTATCTTATGAACTTTTTTTCCGAAGAAATTTTCTGTTATTACGTTCATCTCTGCTGGGTTGGTAGTGATGACTATGTCCGACTCCAGAGCTTCGATTTCTAAGGTTTTGTTTTGGAGGTTGGGATGTTGCCAAAAGAGCTTTTATTTAGGAGCGCTCATACCTTTCGTTTTGTATTGAAAGATTCACAGTAGAATTGAGTTCTAACTTTCTCAAATGCTAGTTTTGCTTATGCTTTAAGAGATCATTTTCTTGCTCAACTCCAGTCATTTCAACAAACTTCCTTTAGCTCAAAATGAGTCTGGATCAAGGATGTTTGTAAATACATCCCATTTCCTTATGTTCCACAATGGATTCTTTATCACCAGTGTCCTTGATTTTTGTTGTTGTGCAGTTCATTCTGAACTTCTAAAAACATTCTAAACTGATTCATTGCTGAATCTTTCTGAATCTTAGAGTAAAAGATAGCTATTGAAGGTGGCTATTGAATGGGATGAATGAGTAAGAAGAGGAATATGAGAATGAATAAAAAGAGGAATTTGAGAATGAATAAAAGAGGAATATGAGAATGAATAAAAGAGGAATATGAGAAAGAATAAAAAAGGAATATGAGGATGAATAAAAAGAGGAATAAGAGAATGAACAAAAAGAGGAATATGAAAATGAATAAAAAAGGAATATGAAGATGAATAAAAAGAGGAATATGAAGATGAATAAAAAGAGGAATATGAAAATATATAAAAAGACTTAACTTACTTAATCCTCTTCGTCCTTGGTGGGATATAAGGCTGCTCAAACAATTTCCTCAATTCTTCTCGGTTCTTAGCAATCTTCTCAGCTTCTCCCTTAGGTTAGATTAATCTCCTTCAGCTCTGTCTCCACACTGCGTCTCCAAGTAGTCTTGGGTCTGCCTCTGCTCCTTCTCCCTGGATTAGGTTGTTTACCTCACACCAGCTGATCTCCGTTTTCATTTATGTTTTCACATCAGTGTGTTTACCGATGATGTTTTCCTTTCCTTCATTTTCTTTTCCTACTTTAGCACTTAGATCCTCCACAACTAAAAGCATGTCATGACGGGGTCCTCTGCATCATTCGTAGACTTGTATTAATGTGAACATGCAATAATTGGAATATGAGGAATTGGAATTAATAAAAAAAGAAAATGAGAATTAATAAAAAAGAGGAATATGAAACTGAATAAAAAGAGGAGTATGAGCATGAATAAAAAGAGGAATATGAGAATTTATGAAAAGAGAAATTTGAGAATGAATAAAAACCTATATTTACAGTTTGAAGAGTGAAGAACCTTGATCTTGTTCTTGCTCTGAAGGAATTTGAATGTTTAGTTACGATTAGAAGTTCATGAGGTTAGAAATAAAAATGGTTTGATATTTAAGGAAATTGGAGCCCATACAAAACATATCGTCACTAAACATATCACCACAAAACATATCTTTTCAAAACTTATCAGCGATAAAACTTTTCGTCACAAAACTTATCAAACTACAAAACTTATCTAACAACAAAACTTATCAAAACAAAACTTATTAACTACAAAACTTATCAAACTACAAAACGTATCAAACTTAACTTATCAATAAAATTCATGAATCTAAATTTTCAAATCATGGAAATGTTCTAACAATTGTTAAAAAATGCGCGAATTTTTACGAGAAAATTCGGTAAACTCTCAGTTTCCCAGCTAATATTGATGCCTTTTAACTTCTAACTTTGTTGGAGCTGAACGCTATCTTATCCTATACATAACATGATTTGATTGGATTGGATTCACATACTCTCTGAAATAAGCTTGAGTTTGTTATTAGTGCTTACATACAGTTTGATACAATTTATTTTCAGATAATTTAAATCTAGAATATGCTGACAAGACGAGGTGTGCTCGCTTCAAGTCGTGTACAAGGTGAATTTGTATCCCCCCCCCCTCGAGGGAAAAATCGGGACGTCACCCTGGAAAAAATTCGGGGCACAATTTTAGAGAGGGGTCATTTTCTAGTTCCTTTAATTTGATTTTTAAAAAGGATTTTAAAAATATTTCAGGCGGTCTAACTTTATCAGTCAAGACTTAGCTTTTTATAAAAAAAGTTTTCTTCCAGGAAAAACTTGAGAAGTGGGCACCACACCACATCATGACGTGTCAGAGTTTTGACAAAAAAAAATTACGGAAATACCTTTATGAGATTCAGGGGGGAGGGGGGATTTTTCTTTATTTGATTTGTGACTTATTTGCTTATGAGAAAGACTGGAGACATTATCAGAATTTAACACTTTTCCAGGCAGAAAAACGTCTTTATTCTTTTTTATTTTTGATCAAAATAAGGTTTCAATGGTAACGTTGCTGACATTAATTTTTCAACTAATAATTTTAAAGGGTGGAGTCGTAAATCGGGCATTACCATCTTTGCATATGGAGGGTCACTTGTAATTAGGCGCGTAGTGGAGGTTTAGCCTAGGGGGGTGCACTTATGGCGAAATTGTTTTTGTGCACCCCTAAAAAACCGGTATTAAAAAAAAAAAAGTTTAAAATCTATATTAATCTACCTGAAGGCTGACTACTAGTTATCTGACCATAATTACCAATCATTTTAAATGAAACCCCGCGAAAAAAAATACTGTAAATAAGATAAAGGTACAAGAAAGAATTTGAGAAATAAAATGGACAAATTGTGACATTGTCGATTGATAAGAAAAGTAAAAAATCTGAATATAAATGTAAGTTTACTGTTTAATGAATTAGAGCTTGTCTCTGGCTCTAGGGGGGTGCATGTCTAGGGGGCACAGGGATACCGGTCCCGCCGCCACTACGCGCCTGTTAACGGTAGCGAAGATATTTTATTTATCCTAATCTTAGATTACACTCGATGTTTATATGTATCTATGTGTACAATTCTTTCTCCTAGCTTGATTCTTATTAGTTGAACCGGAAGCAGTTGAACCGGAAGTAGTTGAACCGGAAGTCATTGAACCTACTGCTCCACGGCGTCCTACTAGATCAACCAGAAGGGAAAGGTGAGAACTTTTTGATCAATTTATTTAAGTACTAGCTTGGGAACTCAGCTTTGCCTGGACACTAAGTTTTTCCCTTCTAAGTCAACCCACTAAAATTATAATTTAAGAACCAAGCTAAGAACATTCTTGTGGTTGTACCCAGTGCACCAATCAAAATTTGATATAATTCCGGCCTTGGATTCATGACAAACAAACAGACAAAAGAGAGATTACTATTTTACATATATATAGATTTGCCTAAATTAATTTTTTACGGGACTCATTTTTCTAACTTGCTTCTTTTACCAACAACACTTTCCTTTTGTAAAAATTGGCAGATTTTCTTGTTTTTTTATGGCACTTCAGACCTTGCCTAGTCACTTCAGACCTTGCCTAGTCACTTCAGACCTTGCCTAGTCACTTCAGACCTTGCCTAGTCACTTCAGACCTTGCCTAGTCACTTCAGATCTTGCCTAGTCACTTCAGACCTTGCCTAGTCACTTCAGACCTTGCCTAGTCACATCAGACCTTACTTAGTCACTTCAGACCTCACCTAGTCACTTTAGACATGACCTAGTCACTTAAAACCTCATCTTGTCACTTCAGACGAAGTGCCTAATCACTTCAGACCTCACCTAGAACACTTCAGACCTGATCTATCTAGACACGTAAGACCTCATCTAGTCACTTCAGACCTCGCCTAGCAACTTCAAGACCTGATCTAGACACTTCAGACCTTGCCTAGCAACTTCAGGTCTGATCTAGACACTTGAGGGTTATTTGTGGAAGTAGGACGTCTCTTAAAGTTTGATTGGACTTGTCTGTCAATAGATCAAGCAAGGGTGATCCTAAAAACGGGTGATATATACTACTTTTGAATTTTCTTTTCTTCAGGATTCCAACTTGCCCTCGTCCTCCTCCCAACTCGATCAATGATACTACAATTGATCTAACAGATGATTCAGTTGATCAGCAAACCGTCCAGGTAACTCCAAAACTCGTTCAATGATACTACAATTGATCTGAGAGATGATTCAGTTGATTAGAAAACAGTCCAGGTAGCTCCAGAAATCGATCAATGATACTACAATTGATCTGACATATAATTCAGTTAATCAGCAAACCGTCCGGGTAACTCCAGAAACTCGAAGAAATCGTAACGTATCCTTATTTGTAAGATTGGGGTCGCAAATTATGAAGGGCTTAAACAATATTCTTGCAAAGGAACCGAGAGCTTGACTTTAGCTGCATTTTTTGACTATCTTTATTTTTGCAATCTGATGGTGTAAACCTTTGATATATCAAATTTATAATATGTAGCAGAATTCTTAGTATGAAATATCAAAGGTGCGATATCAGGTTGAAAATATTTTGGGCTTAGAAAGTTAGTTTAAAACAACTGTTCAGTTCCTTCCCAAACTTCAATTAAACATTTGGAATATTTTAATAATAAAACTTGTATGATGAGTGGGATTTATAAACCTATTCATTCAAACTTTAGTTATTATATCTAGCAGAATATATATATATAATATATCTAGCAGAATGAAATATCAAAAGAGAAATTTCGTAATTACACATTTGTTTTTCATTTCTGATACTGTTTATAGTGGAGCCTACCATCCTTCACCTATAGTAGAATTAAATTATAATTTTGTATTCTATTTTACTGTACTTTTAAAGGGACTGTAAGCAAAATCTCAAGTGACCAATGATCGATTCACAACGGTACCCTTAAAAGCTTTGTCTGATCAAGTATGAATTATATGTTTTTGAATACAGACTATTTTCAATTGGGGTTTCTCTAGTTTTCTACTGCAGGAAAACATGGGAATTATTAGAACTAAATATATTTAAACCTAGGAAACCTATTCTTTGGATAAATATTTCTAGGGTATCCTTGTCAATCGGGCATAGCCATCTTTGCATGGAAAGTCTCTTAAAATTACGCTTACAATCCCTTTAAGGATAATGTGTTTCTTGTTCCATCTACTCCTGATATACAGATGGGTAATCTTGCATTGACTATTCCTCGTATGCAGACCAGGTTAGTTACGGTTACATCAAGTAGTATGGAATACAATGGAGAAGGGACTCGTTCCATCAACCTCACCGTATGCTGACCGGTACTCCATTGGAAAATAAATTGTCTGTAGGTCGTCATTTTTAGTTTAAAGTTGAGTTTTTACTGATCAACATGAAATAAAAACGACGTTTTCGGGATGCGGAACAATTGGCAACACAAAACTGTTATGAAATTAAAAAGTTAATTTTATTTAATGTGGAAGAAAACAAATACATTTTAATAAAAAGAAAGTGAAATTTAAAAATATCCTTTTCCTAATGGAGTACCATTCTGCAAAGTATATCATATGGTGAGGCGGAACAGGTTTACTCCTACTTGGGTTACGGCAATGATAAATCTGTCTGTAGCAGACAACATGTTTTAGACTTTACACTTAGCGATGGGTAGGTTTTTGGAATTTTAAATGTTCCCTATCCAACTGAGAAGTTGGCTGAGAAATTTTACACATTTAAACAACTAGGCTTTCCGGGGTTTCATCTTCTAGTTCAATTGTGAATAATTCTCTTAGTATACATTGTAAAACATTAACAAAAAAGAGTTCGAGGATTTTATGAATAAAAATCGTGGATTTTCTAAATTTAATGAAAATCTAATTTTGTTGGAGGCAAATTTTTGAAATTTTTATCATATATTAACCTTCCCTGGGGTCATTTTAGGTCCCACACAAAATTTGGGCCCGATCGGTTTAGCCGTTTTTGACGTGTATTGGATACAAACACACGAGAAAGACAAACAGCAAAGTATATATAAAGAGATTTTAGAAAAATAAATATTTTCTAAAGTGTTTTATTAGTGTTATTATAACGTGTTACAAATAAAATGAAATTGAAGACAGATTAAGATAAATTAAAAAGATTAGAATTAACTAGATGAATTAAATTGTTCAGAGAATCTGAAAACCCCGGTCTGAACCAAGAGGAAGGTTTGGTTATCGTTGATGATACACTGGAGGAAGAAGACGAAGAGAGAGCCGGGGATATTTCAGAGAGGGTTATTGAAGTTGACACTGAGGAGGAAGTTAATGTGGAGCAGGAGGAGGAGGTGGTGAGGCTTGGTAACACAAGAGATATTAGAGATGTTACTATTATTGATCTCACCAACTCTCCAGCGCCTCCTAGGTAAAACCTTTTTTAAAACAGAAAATATTTCAACAATTTTTAGAAAAAAAATACTTTAAAAAGCCTGTTTTAGGATATATTTTCCGAAAATTTAAGCATTAATTTATATTTTGGCTCCGATATTTATTGAAACTCCTTTTTTCTAGTGTTTTCACTAAGGAGAGATCCGTGAAACTATGTCGACATCTTATTTGTTAAATAAGTAATATTAATTAATGAAATAAGGAAAAGAGTAAAAAATAAGAATGAGAAAATTGTCTTTTAAATTAGTAAAAGTTTCTAATTGATGATCCGGATCTGGGATCTCGCGATCCGGATCTAGGTTTTTTGGATCCGGATTTGGGATCTTTTGAGATTTTATATCTTTAAAGAATACTTTTTTTAGAATTCGTTCCCGAGAGAACAGTAGTGGCAGCCAATCAAATACAGCTACTCATCAAGGTCGGTTTTATACCTATTTTTCAAGTTTTCTAAAATAGTTTTATGAAAATGTTGAAAACAATGGATTACTTTAAAAAAACGGTAATGAAAAAGAATTGAATTTTGCCACAGCGTCAAATTCTCTAATCCCTATATCTTTGGAACTTGATGGTGTCAACCTATCATATTTAAAACTTTACGCATTTGATCTAACAGAATTCATAGTTTGAAATATCTACGATCGACAACATTGGGTTGCAAAGATATAAGGATCATAATTGCAGAAAATCAAGTTTTACAGATAAACCTCAGGTTGTTACTTAATATTATAATGGGAAGTAGAGAAGTAGTTTTACTGCAGGGTTACCCACAAAGAATAAGACTTTAATGACAACCTTAAAAGTATAAAATTCACCAATCTTAAGGTTGAATTAGAGGTTCTGTTTAAAGGGACGGACCGGCTATGTAAGGTAGTTAAACTGTGTATGCAGTGTTGTGGACAAATTCTTTATTTATTTGAGACATATAAAACGTTTCCACAATGTATAATTACTGAGTTTGAGTGCATAGTCGACGTTCAAAATCATGAATTTGGGAGGGTACATTTTCAGAATCTGGTTTTTAATTATTAAATAACGAAAAATAAAGTAAAAATTATACAGTAAACTAGTTAGATGATTAGGAACATATTTCTCAACAGAAATTTGTCAATAAATCTACGCTAGAATCAATTTTTCCCTTTTCATCATTATATTGAATTTCTTATTTTCTATGAATTTATTCGCAGATTTCTTCAAATTCTTCAAATATCGTTTTTTCAATAATAATTCCAGAAAATCTCCGAAAAATCTTTGTGAATAATTTAGAGATTATAGAAACTAATAATTGAAAAAGGTTACTTATTTTCGATGATAAGATTAATTTTTATTTTCTCAACCTGTTCCTAAACAACTAATTAGTTTACTGTGGAATTTTGTTCACATTTTTGTCGTCGTTATTTAATAAATAAAGAAAAAATTCTGAAAACGTATCCACCCAAATGTATGATTTTGAACGTCGACTTTGCGCTCAAACTCAGGATTTACAAATCTTTAAAAAGTTGTATATGTCTTAAATGAATCCTAAAGAATTTGTCCACAACACTGCATACTCAGTTCACCTGACATAGCCGGTCTGGCTCTTTGAAACATATTTTTTAAATGTTATATCGATTATTTGGCCACTGATGAGACACGTCTACTGAAGCAGGGAACCAAACATGTAAGAAAAAGACTGAATAATTTTCGTACAGTCGCCCTAAGTGTCATCTTTCGTTGGTAACCCTGTAACTAGTTGAAATACTTCTCTAACGAACTCTTGGCCAAGTAGTTAAACTATCCGTACTTAGTTCACCTACTTTTCCCTGTTTGTTAATTCTTCTATTGAATATGTTCGTTTATAGATTACGGAACCTGTCCAATTTGTCTTGAGTTGATCTGGGAGCTCAAGAAGGATGGTGAGAATATATTTGACAAATTTGACAAACTTAGATGATAATTTTAACTTCTTGCAGTCCCGCCCTTCACCCCACCAGTTCGTTTAGTTAATCCAAAGAAAATAAATTTCTGAAGTGTCAGACATAGACTGTAGAAGGCTGTATTGAACCTAATGCACCCCCCATCCCCCGGCCTTCATGCTTGCAAGGGTTAATTTCTGATAATAATTACCATTAATAAGACTTAAGACCTAATTTCAAGCTACTTATTTAATAAAGAGTTGTACTGTATGGCTGATTCGCAATGGTACTTTTTTTGGTTCTTATCTATGCAATACTTTGGGAGGTATTGTTGTTTTTCCTTCTTAAAAAGGGTTTCAGTATGTGAACTACTTTCTTGGTCTCTGTTGCATAACATCCTCAAGTCACTTTTATAGAAAAAAATTAAATTTTTAGATGGGAAGAAAACATTTACATTATTTTTGTGTCAATGGTTTTATTGGATTGTTGCTTGAAAATACGTTTCTAATCCTGTTAAGGACTGATCTCCACGGTGTGTGGACATGTATTCTGTAGTCCATGTTTCTACTCTTCCCTCTACCGAACTGATGTTCATCGACCCACCTGCCCCGTCTGCAGAGGATCACTTTCAAGGAAAATCAGACATTTAGTTATTCAGGGGTTTTTATTCTTCCCCCCCCCCCGGGTGTATATTTTTATAAACTAAACAAATGATGTTTGAAGATCTGAGGAAAAATTAAAAATTTGACATTTCATTCTAATAGTACACTCAACCCCCCCCCCCAAAAAAAAAAAAAAGATTGGGAATTTATTATTGATAGAAAGGTGGTTAAACTAGCTTCGGCTTTTTGAACTAACTGTCTGAACCGTTAATATCCATTTAAACCTTCCTAAGAGAATTAGTTCAACTTCTCCTCGCTATTTAATAATTCCGATCACTGCATGAAACTGCATTGCACTGCTCTGCACTGTACTGAAGGGGTTTGCCACTAATTTTCAGTGCTCTGGAAAATCAAAGCCTACAAAATTTCTTACACCCAAAATCGGTTCAAAATTGTTAAAGAAAGAAAAAAATTACATTGGTTTAAAGTATACAAAAATGTAAATATTATACCCCCGATACAATGAAAAAACATCCATGCTTAAAATTTAGGACTTTTAGTCTTGGTCTTTTTCTGTCCTCTTAAATGTGTGATTTCCTGCAGGAGAAATGCATATCATCCTGTCTACCTATAGACAACAACAGATCATCCTCTCTTCCTATAGACAACGATGAATCATCCTCTACCTCTGTGTACAATAATCTCTTAATAAACTAAACTTAATTCCTAGGACGGATCGTTCTCTACAAGATTGAATTAAGAGAGCAGAATAAACTGCATCTTAGATCTCTCCTCTGATAATTTTTATTATGCAAAAAAAATATTAGTTCGTCCCTAAAACATATGTATTTTTGTATATATCGACAAATTCTTTGTAATTAAAAAGTAGCACTTAAAATTCTTTGTAATTAAAAAGTACCACTTTAAATTCTTTGTAATAAACTAAACTTAATTCCTAGGACGGATCATCCTCTACAAGATTGAATTAAGAGAGCAGAATAAACTGCATCTTTGATCTCTCTTCTGATAATTTTTATTATGCGCAAAAAAAATATTAATTCGTCCCTAAAACATATGTATTTTTGTATATATCGACAAATTCTTTGTAATTAAAAAGTACCACTTAAAATTGTTGATTTCTGTAGGTTAATATTTTTTTAGAAAAATTAAATCTGTTCCATTCCTGTAAATAGAATTCGCTTAAAAATGAACTCCACGAACCTTCAGGAATTCAGTAAGAAAGGTTTCTCTTCGACGACATTGTGCTTCCTCCTGAATCTTCTCTTCTTGATTTCTTCATTACTGTTATCCTGATTTTGCTATTCTTGATTTGTTTATTACTCCTATCCTGATTCTTCTATTCTTGATTTGTTTAATACTCCTATCCTAATTTGTTTTATTCTTGATTTGTTTATTACTCCTATCCTAATTTGTTTTATTCTTGATTTGTTTATCACTCATATCCTAAATTTTTCTATTCTTGATATATTTATTACTTCTATCCTGATTCTTCTACTCTTGATTTGTTCATTATTGTTATCCTGATTTTGCTATTCTTGATTTGTTTAATACTCCTATCCTAATTTGTTCTATTCTTGATTTGTTTATCACTCCTATCCTAATTTGTTTTATTCTTGATTTGTTTATTACTCCTATCCTAATTTTTTCTACTCTTGATATATTTATTACTTCTATCCTGATTCTTCTATTCTTGACTTGTTTACTACTCCTATCTTGATTCTTCTATTCTTGATTTGGTTATTAGTTTTATCCTGATTTTTCTTTTCTTGATTTGATTTGATTACTACTATACTGATTCATCTACTCTTGATTTGTTTATTACTTCTATTCTGATTCTTCTATTCTTGATTTATTTATTACTCCTTTCCTAATTTTTTCTATTCGTTATATGTTAATTAATCAAATCCTGATTCTTCCATTGTTGATTTGTTTATTACTTAAATCCTGATTCTTTTATTCTTGATATATTTATTACTTCTATCCTGATTCTTCTAATCTTAACAATTGATATAATTGTCCCAGCGGTATAGGAGAGCAGTCATAGCAGATCCAAATAATATAAAAATTCGGGAGATTTTTCAACTTGACGCAAATCAAAGTTAGAATCAGTGAGTATGTTAATGTAGCTACAGTGAAACCCTTAAAAACGAAATCATCAAATGTCGTATTCTTCACTTTTTGATTATGGAATGTTGCAGATATTTAGTTTTTTAATTAAATGATTATATGGAACTTTTTAAAAATGTTCCCGCATATTCATGGCTATTTATTTATTTTCGCAAATACTGAAATTTACGTAATATAGTATTAAACTCATTGAAAAATTGCCAAGACGACATTTGATAAATTCTTCCGATGTATTCGTTATTAAGGGTTTCACTGTATGTCTATCTTTAATAAGATCGAACTATTGCTTAAAGATTGGAGAAAAGCCGTACTTAATTCAGAATTAGAAAGGGTCGAGTGATTTCCAGGAGAACATTAAATGGATATAAAAAGTATTTTTTTTTAGTTTGAAAATTCAACTTCAAACAGACAACTGCAGACTGACTCAAAACCACGCTCATGAAATATTGAAAATATANACCAGACATATGTGAGCGTGTAAGTTTGTATTTTAAACTTGAGAGATCTCATGAAGAGAAATCAAGTCAATCTCAATATTTTGTTAAACATTTAATAACGTAGACTTAAGGTTTTGAAATTTGCTAGATTAAGTATTGAATATTCATATTGAAGATGAGAGGATACTTTGAACTAGAACATTTTTGAATAAAACTATTTAATCTTCAATCATTAAATTTGTCATTTGTAACATTGAAAGAAATGCATTTAAAATCAAGCCTGCGTCTGTATTCATACTGCCTAAAGTGTCAGGAACCATAGCAAGCACTGTGGCGTTTATCCCGAGAAAAACCTTCACCCGAAACCTCCTTCCTCTCCATTCATGACCAGGACATTTCTTAAGTAAAAATAATGAATAAAAAATTACGTCGATTACCAGGATGCCAACTAGCTTGAACAAAAAATGCAGTAATAATAACCAAGGAGTAAGGAATAGAAGGGAGATACAACTGACGCGGTTCGCCCTACAATATGATTATACATGCTTTGCAGTCTTTGCAGACGGGTGCTCCATTTGTATATGAAATATTCAGAATAGGTTATTGTATACGCGGTAAATGTATATCAGACAAATATTTCTTATTCAAATGAAGTACGGTCAGCAAAGCATGTATAATCATATGGTAGGGCGAACCGCGTCAGTTATATTTCCCTTCTATTCCATTCTCCCGGAATAATAATACTGCCAATGTTTACAAGTGAGAACAAAAGTAAATAAACAAAAATATATTTTAAAATGAATAAATAGAACAGATAATTCCCAAAGTAAATTGGGTAGATAATACAGTTTAAGATGTTTCTCTATTTTGAAGAAAATAAAACAGATGGCCTGATCAAGTCTTGTAAATAGTACCAGACATGTGAATGTTGAACACACAGATTTACCAGGAGACCTAGAGAGAACAGCTGAACTTGAAGAAAAACTTAACGGGCCTGGTTAATAGTACCAGACTTGTGTGATTGTTGAACACACAGATTTGCCAAGAGATCTGGAGAGAACAGCTGAAGAAGAAAAACTGAACGGGTCTGGTTAATAGTACCAGGTATCTGAGGGTTGAACACACAGATTTACCAGGAGACCTGGAGAGAACAGCTGAAGAAGAAAAACTGAACGGGTCTGGTTAATAGTACCAGACTGTGCTCATTTTTACCTATAGGAGACCAGGTAATAACTACAAACATAAGAGCGAGCATGAACTCTTTCTCTTCGGCTCACCTCTATTTGCACTGATTAAATCTTATGTATATATTTCAGGTAGGCAGTTTATACAGGACTCAACCGTGAACTGAAAACACAATAAATCAGTCCAGGGTTAATTAATTTTACAATAAAACAGAATTCTAGCCTTTAAAAATAAAACTTTCTCCAGGTAAAACATTCAATTTTATATAACAANCTTCTCGACTTTGAACACCCTGAACACACATTAGTTTATAAAGATCCACAGATCTTACACAGACATCTGAGGGTTAAACACATAGATTTACCAGGAGACCTAGATAGAACAGCTGAAGGGGTCTAATTAATAGTACCAGACATATGTGAATGTTGAAAACACATTTTTAACAGGAAATCTGGAAAGAAGAGCTGAACTTGAAGAAAAACTGAACGGGTCTGGTTAATAGTACCAGACATATGTGAGCGTTGAACACACAGATTTACCAAGAGATCTGGAGAGAACAGCTGAAGAAGAAAAACTGAACGGTTCTGGTTAATAGTACCAGACATATGTGAATGTTGAAAACACAGATTTAACAGGAAATCTGGAGAGAACAGCTGAAGGGTTCTGGTTTATAGTACCAGACATATGTGAGCGTTGAACGCACAGATTTATCAGGAGATCTGGAGAGAACAGCTAAACTTGAAGAAAAACGGAACGGGTCTGAGTGTTAAACACACAGATTTAACAGGAGATCTGTAGAAAACTGCTGAACGCGAAGGATAGATTAAGATTCTTCACATAATTAACAGGATCTAGAATATTCATGGTGGATGTATTGGTTATTTAGCAATCTTCTTGGTTCCGTCCTTGTCCATGATCTTTCCTCCAAGGGACCAGGCCTAGATATTTTTCTTCAATAAACCTTGTAGTGTCGGATAATTAATCACAGTCAAATCCTCAGTAATAGAAATTCCTTTTACTAGAACAGGAGAACAGGATGTCTAGATTAGAACAGGAGAACAGGATGTCTAGATTAGAACAGGAGAACAGGATGTCTAGATTAGAACAGGAAATAGGATGTATAGATGAGAAGAGGATGTCTAGAATAGAACAGGAGAACAGGATGTCTAGATTAGAACAGGATGTCTAGACTGGAACAGGAGAACAGGATGTCTAGATTAAAACAGGATGTCTAGATTAGAATAGGAGAACAGGATGTCTAGACTAGAACAGGAGAACAGGATGTCTAGATTAGAACAGGAGTACAGGATGTCTAGACTAGAACAGGATGTCTAGATTAGAACAGAAGAACAGGATGTCTAGACTAGAACAGGAGAATAGGATGTCTAGATTAGAACAGGATGTATAGATTAGAACAGGAGAACAGGATGTATAGATTAGAACAGGATGTCTAGATTAGAACAGGAGAATAGGATGTCTAGATTAGAACAGGAGAATAGGATGTCTAGAAACTATGTCAGAATTGCAGCAATTGATCGAGAAAGTTCTGTTACATCTTCTCAATATGTTCTTTAATAAGAAACACAAGATAGCTCTAGCCAATGGGAGGAACATTCCCTGAAGAAGGATTAATGAGCTGGAGAACACCTTCAAGGTTTTTTTTATTAGATACATATTAATTAAGAATTTTATCTAATTTTGAATAACACTTCAATGCGTCAAGACAAACTACTGAAATTATTCTTCCTGCAGAGCTCGACCCCAATCCTAGCCGCAGTGCTAGGACCCTTGAAGAATATTTTTTGAAATATCTTGGGCTATAGCTTGCTTCCGCCAATGCTTGTCTGTACGAGCGGGGGAAGGCAGGCGGCCATGAGCCACCACTATTTCCCCTTCCATACCACCACATTTGACTCTTCTGGGCAAAACTACTTGTTTAAATGGTATATTTAGAGCCTTTTAAGTGTGATTTTAAAAAATCCAGCAGCGTCACGCAAAAAAAGCACAACTTAAACCATTTTTTCAATTCTACTTAAGATTAATATTTTGTGTTTTGAATTCTTAACCTGTTTTACAATGAAATTTTTTACAAATTTGACTGAGTATCGCATCTTGAAATATCACAAAGTCTAATGATTATTCAATTACTGACTCATTATACTAAATCCATCTTAAAATCACTCATTTGCCAAATTTTGTGCAAGAAAACTAAAATCTATATAATAAAACAAGACATTCATATATATGTTGCCTAAAGCCGGCCAAACGGCTGGACTGAATGGGCTGAAATTTTTTTGTTGACACTCATGGGTAGCCGAAGGGTATCTCAGGCAAAAAATTCGAAATTATTTTTAAATAT